GTGGGAGGGAACTGGTGAGAGGGGGAGCCCAAGGCTGGAGGGGGGGACAGCCCAACAATTTTTTGCTTGGGGCTGCAAAAAACCTAGAGCCGGGCCTGCCCTGATCACCTCTCCTTCCCCGACTCCCAGCTGGGCACCCCCCCACTCTGCATTCAGTTTGGCCCCTGCCACATTCTGCCCCCCTCAGATCTCCCTGAGCTGCAGCCTCCGTCCAGATCAGCGCGGCCTGGGGCAGGGAAACAAAGCAGCAGATGGGGCGGGAGAGATGGGTGATAACGTGATCCTGCCCCCGCCCCGCACACACCGGGAGCTGGTGGCAGCTTTCCCGGGCCCAGGGCGGGAATCGCAGCCAGCTCCGCTGGGAGCAGCCTGGGGCCAAACCTCCCCCTGCAGCCGGGCGGGTGTCTCTTACCTTCCCTCCGAGCGGGGCCCCCCTGGGGCAGGGGCCGGGCCGGGAAGGGGCCTGGCCGGGCTGGGGGCTCTGCCCTGGGAGAGGCTCCTGGGGAGCAGCGGGAAGGGCCCTGCTGGAGATTCCCCTCTCCCGGCTGCAGCCAGGGCTCCCGGCTCCCAGCACCAGCCGCCAGGGCGCGGGGATCTCGCCAGGAGCCTGGAGCCAGAGTCACCGCAGCGGCTGTGAGTCACTTCGTGCTGCCGGGACTGAGCCCAGCGATCGCTCCCCCCAGAGCCGCCTCCCAGCTGCTCCTGGGTCCTAGCGATCAACCGACTTCCTTGACTTCTCTCTGTGTTCAGCTTCTGTTACACTCACAAGCTCTCAGGTCAGAAGGGCCCATCATGAGCATCTAGCCCAGGGGTTCTCACAACCAAATTTTTTGGCGGCCTCAGAGTAAGGCCAGCAGCTGTCACTGGTGGCCGCTCCGACACATTTTCCCAAAATACTTAATGAACTTTAGGAGAAACCAGTAAACATGCACAGAGGTAGACGGGGAAACTTTCCTGACTTAAACACCACCCGGGTGGAATCGAATAGTAGAAGGATCTGAGTCCTCACTCCCTTCACCCAGAGCCTGCCTCACCTTGCGGGCTCCCCTTCCACTCTCCTGTGTGGCAAGGTCCTTATAACCCCGACAAGGCTGGGCCCAGGCTTCCTGAGGGGCTCGCCCCCCAACCTGGTTGTGACCACTCAGGACATGGGCTAGAGCATCCCCACTCTGGGTACTTTCTTCGCTATGGACGCTTCCCTGACCTCTTCCCTGGCCATTGTCTATAGTTCAGAACAAATGCAATTTACAAAACAGCAAGTAATAAAAATTCAGGACACAATCAGAAAGGCGAAAGGAAAACTCTTAGCCCCACTCTGCAGGGCCGGATTAACTTTTTGTGGGCCCAATGCCTAACCTATTTGTGGGCCCCCATGGGGCAAGGTGCAGGAGGCGGGATGGTCAGTCTACAGAAGGAAGGGCAGGCGGGCAGGGCACAATGAGGCACAGTACAACAGGAGCAGCGCTGTTCTGTGCAGCCCAGCAGAGGACACTGTTTACAAACCAACCCAGCTTCTCCCTCTGCCCCCGCTTCCCTTCTCCCCTTCTCTTCCCCATCCCATGCCCCTAGCCCACCACTCCATCTCCCCGTTCCTTCCCCCTACCCCTTTCCCCCCTGACCATGCTTCCCCTTTTGGCAAGAAGAGCCATTCTCCTCCCCAGCTGCTCCTCACTCTT